GTAGCCGGGATAGAAGGGCGCGGTGTAGTAGAGAGGCCGGGACAGCACTGTCCCGCCAGGAAAAGGACACTGCGCCGAGGGCGAGCGCGACGGCGCCGGGGCTGGCGACGCACGGCTGCCTCCTAGGGCTTGCCCAGCCATGGGCCCGGGACACGGTGGGCATGGAGAGCCCTCGCTCCCGCCGCCCCCGTCCTTGACCTTGTCCGAGGATGTGGCGATCTCTGCCAGAGACCACAGCTTGGGCTTGGCGAGCACCGCTGCTGGCGGCGGTGGCGGCGGCGAGTGGATAACCGAGGGCCCGCCGGGACCAGGGGGCAGCTCTCCCGCTGCGGGGTGTGTGGCAGGCGCCGGCGCGCCCGCAGGGTAGTGAGGGGCCGGGTCCTCGGCCAGCCGCGCTGCTGCTGGCCCAGCCGGGGAGGGCCCGCCGGCGCGGGGGGGCCCGGGCAACGCGTCGAGGCGGCCTTCCGAGGGCGGCTCTTTAAAATCCAAGTCGCTGAGGCTGCCCTCGGTCTCCTTGCCGGCGGGGGTGGGCGGCCCCTGCAGCCGTTCGCAGCTCGAAGCCGCCTTCTGCTCCGTTCCTCCTGCGGGCGAAACCCTGGCTGTCAGAGGCGCAGAGGCCACGCGGCGGGGCCCGTGTTCCCGCCCGCAAAGGCACAGACCCCTGCCCTCAACTTCCAGGCCCCGTGCGTGACCCCGCCAGGCCCTCCTTTTCCTTCTTATTCCCGCCCAACACGCCCTTTCCCGTGTCCACCAACCTGCTTCAGGGCCCTCAGGATCGCCCTTGTCCTCGGGCTTCTGGGGCTCGTCCTCGTCGTTTTTCTCCAGGTCAATGTTCTCCTCTTCCTCCTCGTCCTCGCTGCGGTTCCGCGGCGTCCACGTCATCTTGTTCTCCTTCTTGAGGCGCCGGCGCGCGTTGGCGAACCAGGTGGACACCTGGGTGAGGGTCATCTTGGTGATGATGGCCAGCATGATCTTCTCGCCCTTGGTGGGGTAGGGGTTCTTGCGGTGCTCGTTGAGCCAGGCCTTGAGCGTAGCAGTGGCGTCCCGCGTGGCGTTCTTCCGGTATGCGGGGTCCCCGTACGGGTAGGACCCCAGGGGCGCAGCATAGGGGTGATACCCCAAGGAGCCCGCCATGCCAGGTGTGTGGTCGTAGGGAGACCCCTGCGGTGGAGAGTCAGAGAGAAGGTGAGTGGGGGCCGTGGTCTGACTGCCACCTGAACGACAGCAGCACGCTTTCCCTTCGCCCCGGGGTCTACCGGCAAGGCCGGCACTCCGGCTTCCCTTGGCACTGGGCTGGCGGTTTCAAACCCAAGAGCAACCCCTCCCCCTCCTCAGAAGGCAGCGGGGCCCCCCAATTCTTGAGTCCAGTCCTTTGGGGACCCTTCAAGCTGTCCCAGCCTTGATGCCACCCTGTAGGCCCCCGTCTGCCTGGGCACGTCAGTCCCCTGTGCACAGATCTGGCCACTGCGGCCCGGCCCTCTATCCAGAGAGACCCCAGAAAAAAAAACGACACTCCGCGCCCCGCCCCCCGCGCCGCCACACGGGGCGCAAAAGGGGAAAAAAAAGAAAACAAAACGCTTTTTTTCTTTCTTTTTAACCCTCAAAGAAACGCAAACGAAAAGCTGAGCCTTGCCTCAGCACTCCTAGTCTCCAAAAACGCTCCCCCAAACCAGTCACAACCCAGCCGAAAAATCCCGGATGCACCGCAGCTCGGCCGACTTTTCAGAAATTTAATACCTCCAAATCGGATTGGGAAGATAGGATTACGGATTTGCAACATTTTGGAGGACTAATTAAAGGCGAGGCCAAACACATTTACATAGACTTAGCACTCTTCTGATCAGATTTCGGGTGTATTTTTTCGGACTACTTTTCCAAAATGACAAAACCAAAAATATAAAATTTGCAGGGCGCACTGGAGCTTCTGTTTGAACCAAATGCTGTTCTTTAATTAAAGCGACCTCTCCCCCAAAAACCTTTCCAGCCAGCTCAGCTATCCGAGCAAGACGCGGCTCTCTTTTCCGAACAACTCTTGAGCCCCAGGCCCGGGCGAAGCCGAGCGAGACAATCGTCCAAGTTTGCAGGGGCCGCGAAGCTCGGCGGGGGAGGTCGGCGGTGGCGCCTAGGCCCGTGTCCCCTGCAGCCCCCGCCCGCCCGGCCGGCGGACCCCGGCTGCCCTCGCCCGCCTCGGATCCCGCTCACTCACCACGTACGAGGAGAAGGCGGCGGCGGCGGCGGCCGCGGGGTCGGCGCCGTACTGGAGGTGCGAGTTGTAGCCCGGCGAGGGCGCCGTGAAGGCAGTGGAGCCAGCGTAGGGCGAGAACGCGGAGCCCGAAGACGAGCGGCCGAGCTCATCAGTGCGGGGCCCAGAAATGACGCTGGTGCTGTACGCCGGGCACGAGTAGAGCGCCAGCGAGGCGGACGGCTGGTACAAGTAGCCCTGCGGGTAGGACATGGCCACACACGGGCATGGGGCGCGCCGCGCGGCGGCGGCCAACCAGCCGGGCGGCGCCCTGCAAGGGCGAGCGGGAGGGCACCTGGCCTCTGGCTGCCCTGGGCCGCCGCTCCTCGGCCCCGGCTCCCGGGCTCCGGCCCGCCGCGCCTCCTCGCCGGCTTCCCGCGCGCCTCCGGCTGCGACCGCCGCGACCGCTCCTCTGCGCGCCTCGCTCGCCCGGGCTGGCCCTTTTTTTCCTGCCCTCCCTTGCTGCTTTCTCTTTTTTCCCCTCGCTCTTTGCACCGGGGGGCTCTGCTTTTGGCTTCGCAAAGGTCCTGCCAAGATGCTAAGTTGGAAATTGAGGATTCTGACGCCTTGTGAGCGTCCGAAGCTCCTCCTTCCCGGGGTGTAGTCGGTGGGAGGACTGGCAGGAGCCTCTGGGCGGCCACAGCCAACCCGGCCGCCAGGCGCGCCTCGCCCTCTCCCTCTTCCTCCCCGGCTCCCTCTCCCGCTCGCTGGCGCTCCCCTCGCTCCTCCCCAGCGCCCGCCTCTCCTCCACGGCCCCTTCTCCCCCTCCTCTCAGCCTCCTCCCTCCCCTCCCCTCCCTGGTCTCTCCCTCTCTCTTTCTCTCAGACTCTCGAGCGCCGGCCCCAGGATGACAATCACATCCCAGCCGCGCCGGTCTCTTCCAACTTTCCTCCCCTGCTAACTCGGGCGCAGCGGCCGTCCAGAAGCCCTGGCAGCGGGTGGGCGCACTAAGGGAGCGAGGCCGCGGACTGTGCGCCAGCGAACGCTCTGCTCTCTCCTAGCCACAGTAAATCGCCGAGTTTGCGGATTTCTCGTTCTCCCGGAGGCTGGGCTCCGAGGCGGTACGTGGCCAACCCTCTCCGGCTTTTCCCCCAAGCCAGGTGGCCGGACAGCGAATTGGAGACCCGGAATGAAGGTCCCCGGGAAAGCCGGATGGATGCCCGCGCCCAAGGCGCCGGGAGTCCGGGGTGACTGGCCCTCTGTGTCAGCAGCAGCAGGTGGGCGAGAGGCGGGCCTCAGACGTCTACACGTCGGCTCGCCTTCCTTCCACCGACCCTCACTGGACGGCGAGGGGACACACTGGGGACCTGGGGACTCCTGGGCTAGCATCTCTCTAGAGGAGAGGGAGTGGGCAAGAACTGCCAGACCGAGTAGCAGCTACACTTGAGTAGGTCTCGGGGCGTCCCCACCTCCATCCCCATGCGTCCCAGCCTCTTTCTCCGGGCTTGCCATCCGCAGCTCGCCCGGCCAAGTAGGTGGTGGAGGATGCGGGTCCCCTTCCCTTTTGTTCAACTAAGTCGCCTTGCCCTTCGCACGCACCTCGCTTCCGCCCACGCTGCACTGCAAACACTGGGCAGAGCAGTGCCCAACCCAATCGCTGTCTGTGCAGCGAGGCGCTGGCGAGGCAAACACACAACTGAGTCACAGGCAGCCCTTGCCCACGACAGCCACACAGTTAGAATACAAAACAGACCCGCTCCCCTCCTCTGCGCCTCCCGCCGCCACAGCCACGAGCGCACTCGAACTCTGGGACAGACAGGGGCGCTGGTGAACCAGGAGACAGGCTGGTGCGGCGTGGGCGCGCCGCTGGAGCTCGCAGTATCAGAACTTTGTAGCCTTTTACCAGGAAGCCACATGCAGGCGAAGCATTAACTACATGCAAAGTTTCTCGCATTGACTTTGACCGGCGAGATACACTTTATTTCGTGAGCTCCAGACCAGCTCGCACTAACCAGCCCAACCACACCACACTGGCACCCGCTCGGCGGCGCGCCTTCGTGCACGCGCTGACTCCGCCTCTCCATCGGCTCCTCCCCCCCGACCACTTCAGACTACATGCTCCGAGAACCTCTCGGCCCGCCCAGCCCCTTCCCTCGCACTGCCTTCCTCTCTGATTGGACGCCGGCCTCCATTGGCTCCGCCCTTTGGCGACGTGCGCTCGCTGCCCCGCCAAGTCCCGGCGCCGAAGGGGCGGGGCGGGGCTTCGGCCGCGCTATTGTCATGGAGACGGGAAGCCGATGGCTGCGGTGGCCCGGGCTGCCGGGCGGAGGTGGCCGCCAGCCCGCCAATACCAAATCAAGGCGGAGCGGCCCGGGCGGCCCGGGAATGGCGGCCTCTTCGGCGGTCCCTCCCGGGCTCTGTGTAGGCCTGGTTGTCACGGGGAGCGCCCCGGAGCGTCTCCGCCTCGCTCCCTCCGCTTACGCCTCTCGCGGCCCCGCCGCGCCTCAGCGCCCGCCCCCAGCTCCGCCCGCCGCCGCGGCCGCTGGCGCTAACGGTCGGTAACGGCCCGCGCGCGCCGCCTGCCAGGGGCTCGCGCCAGCCACGAGGGAGCGTCCGCGGCCCGCGCGCCCGCGCCGCGGCGGAGAGGTGAGCCCCGACCCGCACCGCGTCCCGGGTGCCGCGCGGCCGGCCCTCCAGCCCTCGAGCCGCGTCCGGTCCCGTCGTGGACCCGGTGGACGCGGCCGGGCGCCCTGCGGGCGAGTGTCGGGCCGTCCTCTCCTGACATCCCGGTGCCCTGGCGGGCGCGCGTGGGCCGTGCCCTGTGTCCACGCGTGTCCCCTCCGTCGCCGCCTCGGCTCTCGTCCGGGACGATGCTTTCTGAAATGGAGCCCTGAAGGTTTGTGCCCGAGAATCCGAGTCTGTCACGCAGACATCCTCATTACATCACCCTGCCGCTCTGGGCCGCACCACTGTCCCCCACCCCCCGTTTGTTTTGTTTTGTTTTGTTACCCCTTCCCTTTTACTGTCTTTTTGGTGTCAAGGACTGGAAAGAATCCTGCAAGATACTGAAGCAGTTAGAATTTATGGTTCTATTGCTGTGGTTGTCACCTCCGCTCTACGTCAAATTTAAGACTCATTTCTTAAGGATGTCTCTATTTTCTGCTTTATTTGCACATTGATGGCTCTGCTGCTCGGCTGGCCGAGGCCTCCTGGTGTCTGAGATAGAATCGTGTTAATATGTGAAAGCGAAGGGCTCGTCGTTAGCAGGCAGACGGAACCCAGATAGCATCTGGCGGATTTTCTCCGTTTTTATATGAACGTTTTCTCCGTTTTTTGCTGGTAAAGACGAGCTTTTAACTTTTTATCTTGATACTGGTGACGATATGTCCCCCTGTAGCCCCCTTCTTTACTTTCTGTTTTTCAGCTTTTATGTTTAGGAGCCTGCTTACTTGTTAGCTGGTAGTTTCATTGGTCTCTTGTCACTGAAGCTCTTTCTACCCCAGCTGAGGTGGTGTTTATCTCCCTTTCATTCCCAGGTTACCAAGAAGACTCTTTTTCTTGATTTTTATTGCATTCGTATCTTTCCAAACATTTCAACTTACACCAGGGATGGGTTTGCTCTGATTGTTTTTAACGTAGGACTATTAAATATTCTCATTTTAAAACTTCCTAAGGGCTTATTGGTTTGTCATGTCTGCACGGATTCAGTTACCTGTAACTCTTAAAATTTAAAGCTTTAAAATCCGTTTCACAATTGTATTGCCAAGACATGGCCCTAGAGCTTGCTCTTCAAGTTTTGGCAGCACAGTTGTCATTGTTTCAATAAAGTGCAAAAGAGGTTATTCCTGTTTATTTAGTGTAATAGCTGTTTACACTTAAAACTTTAAAGACTCATAAAAGTAGGTCTGCTGTATTTTAAAGATCTCATCATTCTTGTGAGAGACACAACACCAACACCAGGAAAGGCAACAGATTGCTTCTGTCATATCGCTTTGCTGTTTTGGAGTGTGCTTAAAGGATTATGATTGATAAGGCTGTCTTGCCAGAGAATGTTGACACAGGTGTGCATCGTTATCTTAATTAAGATCCTGAGAAAATGTTGTCTATAAATGGTGACATAAGAAGGGCGGCATATTTTTGTACAGTTTGGCTTTTGGAGAATTTAATTGCACTTGAAACCTGTCTTTGAGCTTCCAGATTTTGTGAGCACTTTGGCAACAGAAGTTTTAGAGAGAAATGATAGTTTAATGTTAAGTGTTCTGGCGTGTACTAATACTACTTGTGGCTTTTTGGCAATGCCTTCCTTGTGTTAGCTTTCTTTGTGCTTTACCTTTTGTGGAATAATGGTTTCTAACTTTGAAAGGAAAGCATAAAATAGAGCAGTGTATTATTTATTAGTGCTCAGAATAAATCTGTCTAGGAAGGCATGCTTAATGTGCAGAAACAGGAATATAGTAAAAAGGTAAATATGTGAGAAATTTATGCCATTTCATTTTTTGGAAAAGAAACAGTCTCCTGGAGTGTCTTAGTGATCTAAAATCTTTTTCATATCATCAAGTACCTAGCTACAATTTTTATGGAATGCCTTGTTTTTATTTCCAGAAATAGAAGAAAACTATAGATTTCTTCCAAAATATTGTTCTGTAAATTTGAATTGTTGTGTAAGTGAAGACAGTGCATTTAGCCTCTTATTAGTTTAGGGATCTGAATCATAACCTGAATGACCACTAAAATAATATCACTGCCTTTTACTCCCAATCTCGGAATATAAAAACAATGGCAAGACAGATGCTGTTGATCTTACTACCCTTGGCTTACCCAGCACCTAATACACTTTAACATAAGTATTGCATTAAGATTTTTCACCTCTCTTTGTAGCTCATGATTTCCTGGAAGCTGGCTGTCCATCAGTGTGTATGTGTGTGAGCGTGTGTGTTTTTCTTTAATATTAAAACTCATTGTAGAAAGAGGAAATGAAAGCGGAGGGGACCATAGGCATATGATCGGAAAAGCCAGGTGTAGGTTCACAGCTCGTTCTTGACTCCAAGGATAATTAGCTGGTTAGAATTACATGGTAAACTGAAAGAAAGACTTATTTAGATTTGTTTGCTGAAACTAAAACGAGCATTAATTTGAAGATAATTGCTTTATTTATTTCTCACACCCCACTCCCATCAAATTTTTTTTCTCTGTCAACTGCAGTCAGTGTCCTTATGCTATTATACATGTTATTTTAAAATTTGATATGTCGCACTAAAAGAGGTGAAAGAGGAATATGAACTAATTACCTATCATCCGTTGTAATGAATAATACCAGATAATTATTTAGGGAAATTTTAAATGTTCTTTAGTTGATAATACAGAACTAAATGAAATCATGTAATTCTGAGTGCATTAAACATGTTCTTTAAAGTAGATGACCAACACAATATCATAGTTTGGAATAATGTTTTAACTTTGAGGTGCGTAGCCTGTTTCGAGTGGTAGTATCTTACTATCTTTGTATATTTCTCTTCAATTTCTATATGGTGTTGACTTTTGTAGTTTTAATATCTTTGGTATATTTTTGAGCTGTTTTATAGAGAATATTTTTTCTTAATAAAATAACAGCTGATGCAACTCTAAGAACATGTAAAATCTAGAAATTCTTTTTTCCTTGTTCATTAATGACTCTCATTTGCTTTCATAGTACTACTATGAATTATGATACCGATGACTTATTTCTGCATAAATCTGCAGTGTTTTTATAACTGTAGTATACCTAAGCACCAGTTTAGCTTCGCAAATTAACTTAGATGTTTCAAAATTGAAAACCAGTATATTCTAATGTAGTTTAAGTCTTTATTAGTAAGGATGCGCTTAACATTTGTTCAGGAGAAGGGAATGTAATTTTCTCCTGCAGTTGTCATTTATGTAATCCAGTTTTCTCTTCTTTTCTCAAGCTAATGTTATTCCACACCTTGATACAGCTTGTATTTGTTTATTTGCCATAATATGGAGTGATACCTTGGAGAAAATTAGATATTCATATCTAATATCCCCAAAGTATTACTTGTTTTCTGTGTTTCCTTAAACAGAATCATTTCCGTTTTTTATGCAGATGATAGGTCTGATGCTTCCATAATACATTTGGATGTTGTCAGCTAAGTCCACTTCTCAACTATGGGGTTCCTCCAAATTTTGGCTGAAATTTGTCCTTGTACATCCCAAGGCTCATCTGCAAGTGAGTGTCTGCAAACAGTGTGCTTGTGTGTGGAGTAAAGCCAAAGTAACATCAGCATTGGTTTTACCAAAGTGTGTATATTGGGAATAGGGATGTAGAAAATGTCACTTGAGGCCTTCAATTAAATTAATGCATTAAACAAGGGTGTAGTAAATATAAAAATTTTTAATTCATGAAATGAGAGTGAATAATGTATTTATTTGTCATTTATCATGGAATAACATTGAATAATTTCTTTAATAGTATCGTTGGATAATAAAATTTATACATTCAGTGCTATTTATAAAAATCAAGATGAAGTTTATGATATTTTATGGAAATAGAATTATTACTTAAGAGAAATGATCTGTTTATGCTGTATCACACTTTATGATTATTTTAATTACCTAATTCTTTTAAGAATAAATTTAGTGGGAATATCAGTTCTAGTCATAGTTACCAAACTCTTTTAATGACAAAGAGTATACAGATGTACATAAAACTTGTTATTTCTCATCAAAATAGGGACTACTGAGTACAGGTGGATAAGAAAAGCTATGAGGAAGAATTATTTTGCAGAATATTTGTGTTGTCTAGTGGGCAGAACAAGGAACTGGATTTAGTGATACAGAACATTTTATTAAGGAAAAAAATGGTTGTATGATGAAAAATAAAATAATTTTACAGAAAGGAGCTATAGTTAGTATAGCCTCCAATAGAATAAATGTTTCTCTCTGAATACTTTCCAAGACATTAAAGTGATTTTTAATGTCATATAAAATAATATATTTTTTAAATAACATCCTTGTGTTCCTCTAATACTGATTGAGTCTTGTGGAAATGGGGTTTCATGTATGACTGAGAGCTGACGCATTGCAGCATGTTAGAAAACCCAGCACAAATAAAAAGAAAATGTTAAGCAGCAAGCACTCTGATTCCTCTTGGTTTGCCTTTAATCTTAATTTTTTGTTTTTTTTTAAACCATGTATAAAGTTACTGAATTTAAAAGATAAAGGAAACCGATTTTCTTTTTTTGTCTCCTAAGGATTAATACAGGTAAAGTCTAAACACATATGAAGATTGGTAGAGTTTTACATCTGTTGTCAGCCAAATTTGTTAAGAGTCATATCTAATATTCCTTTTATATAAAATAAATGTATGCGGGGTCTCCCCACTCTTGAAAATATGAGGAAAATATATCCTCTCAGCGGTTATGGTTGATTAATTGAGAAGGTTGTGCCAAATGTGCTCTAGTGGAAATAGCTAGAGAATATGCTTTTTGAGAAATGTATTATCCAGGAATAAAATCAATTGAAGTATTGGTAATTAAATTGTAATTCCATGAAGGAAGGAAATAGTACGAAAGATAAAGCTAACTATTGCTGTTTTTCTCTTTAAGAGTCTACAGTTCACAATGGAGCTACTGTATTGGCTATTGGAAGAAGGAGATTCTGAAGATAGGTAATATAATCTCTTTTAAAAGAATACTTTCCTCTGTAATCCTGAACCTTTATTTCATAAGAACTTTGTCCAGTAGACAGCAATTTCTTTAAATTTGGGTTATAGAAACTATCTTAATTTCTTCTGCTTAGTTTTTGAGCCTGCTTCTCCTAGGGCCGTGGGCTGTGTTGGGAGAGCTGAGAAATATTTAGCCATACTCAGCATCCTTAAAATAGCTTCTTTCTGAGAATTAGATCTGCAAAGGTGTCCTGCACAGTTCTAGTAGATGCCATTTTAGTTTGTGGTTGCCGTGCATGTATTTAGCATGTTGTTTAACTGTCCTCATTTACCTCCCTGTTCTTTGTTGCTTTCATTTGGGGGGATGTGTTCTCTGCAGGGTGATTTGCTGCCAGCCACAACCAAGCTCTCAGTGGAAGACCTGGTGGTTGGCAACTGGCTCCAGAGCTCTGCCAGGAAGTTAGTTGGGCCCGGCCTGGGGTGTTCTAGTGTACTGGAGGCCAGGAGCTCATGCACATGGGTTCTTTTCCTGCTTCAGAGACTTAGGTCCCTTTCCATTTTTTGTGTAATCCTTTTCCTCTGGCTAGGTTGGCTTGCTACTTACTTTGCAGCTGTTGCAAGAATTCACATGGAATGGAGGGTTCTGTTTTATTCTGGATGATTTCTTTGATAATTTACCCGTATGCTTTTTCATTTTTAAAACCCTGATATTGGTGTTGGAGAATCAGTCTAAGATTCTTGAAGAACAAATATTGGGTTCAAGTTGTACGTGTCAGAAGAGATTCTGTCCTCTGATGCTATGTTGTCACACTGAATATGCAGGTTAAATTAAAAACAGAGTAAAACCCTTTTATAAAAGACCAATTGCTATATCTAAGAATGTATATACAGGCTTAAATTATTTAATGGCATTTATATCTATTTTTTTTCCTTTTAAGAAAATAATATATTTTTCTAGTCATTAAAAATACCTGCCCCCTGAACTATGTCTGGGGAGGAATATTAATAAAACAATGAAGGGCTTCATGGTATCTCTATAATTAGGAAATTTGTAAGAAATGTGGTGGCTAAAATTGATTTCTTCCACTAAAGGAGCTAGTATACATGTAAAAACAAAAACCTTTGGGAAAAAGATTCTTTAATCTTTAACTCAAGTAGTGTTTTTGGTTAACACAACAGGAAGGGGAAATACACCAATTTCAGAATCTTTCTTCATGCCTGTGTAGAGGCTGTAAGCAATTGAGGAAGCCATTAAAATGTAGTCAAGAAAAAAATGATGGTGTCAAAGTGATTACTTGGAAAGCAGTTTATGTTTGCAAAACAATTCAATATTATGATCTTGACCAACTTCTGCTCTTCATATACCCGGGCTCTTACTCTGTCTTTAAATATATCAGTTTATGGTATAACTTGTATTTGCAATGCAAGAGTATTTTAGAATTGCTAGATCTTGCCAGTCATCTTAAAATATACTACAATATTGCAAAATCGAAACGTAATATTTATTAATAGAAGGAAAATATAAAATTTAATATCTTGGCAACTGAGACCTTTAAGCCTACTTTAAAAATATGATCTTGACATCTATAACACTATTTTTGTCTTGGTTATATAGACAGAATTGTGGACATTCTACAATCCAGATGTCACATTTATTAATTCCAAATTTATTCTCTATAATGGACTTTTAAAATAAAAGGTATATGTGCCTTAGAGAGTAAAATTTGAATCATGGGCTAATTTGCTAAGCATCAGAACATAGAAAAGCAGCCTTGATTAATTTAGAACTGTGAAAGGGGGCAGGTAAAATTGTTTTCAGCTGAAATTTACTAATGCAGCAACCATTTAAATTAAATGTTTATTAACATAATAGTGATGGCATTTTCTCCTCCTCCTCCTTGTGGTTTTGTCCAACTAGATGTTACAGTGGCAGTTGCACTGACTGTTAAGTGTTTAAATGATGGCACCATTATGTGAAGTGATTTTGAAATGAGAGATTCCAGCCAAGAATTACATCTGCTCCCATCTCCTTCAAATCATACTCTCTGGCAGTACAGATTATGATTGATTTGTTTGTGACAGATTGCAGGAAACAGTCATTGATTTTTCAATATTTTACCTTAAAATTATTTACAGTTGTAACCATGGGGAGGTATTTCCATGGGCTGTCAGCCCCTGAAAGACTAGGATAATATTCCCTGCTCTCTGACAAGACAAATTACCTGTAATGAGTGCAGTAGCTGAAGGGTATACTTTTATTTTAAAATATGTCAATAACCCCAGTGACTAAACGAATATTGATTTAGCATAATGAAGCCTGAGGAATGTGAAAATGAGCTTTTTCAAGGGGCATGGTAAAGACTTTCTTTTTAGCTGGTTATAAGAAGCTTTTCATTCTTTTCAGCTAGCTGGTAGAAATACAGAGTTTTATGAGCAAACCATTAGGAATGATAGCATTGTTTCTGATAACCAGGGTCCAAATATTTTGCCCTTGCCTTTAGTGATTATTTTCAAATCTTATTTTGAGTCTTACTCTTAGTCATAGAATATAGTACTGATTTGTTTGATGTTATCTTTAACTGATGTAATATTTTTATAATTCCAATATATTTTGCATTGGAACTTTCAGTAATGAATATTAAAATATATGTACAATCATTTATAGATGACATCATAATTATATTAAGACATTTCAAATGGGTTATTGTAGTATTTAATGTGCTGTATTTTATGGTAGAATAACTCTCAGTCTCTGGACATCAGATTGCTTTCAATGGGAATGAAAATTAATTTACTTAAGTCCTGATATTTTAGGCATCAGTGCATGTTTTCATTTTTGTCAGGCTTCTCTCCCCCTTTTTTATGTAATTCTCAACTTTCTACGGATTAAGATCCCAATATGTGTGATCCTTCAAACAA